AAGAACGATCTAGTCAAGAGATAAATCCTCTAATTTACTGGAGAGACTCTCGATTTATTTATCTTAAGCGAATGACTAGAGATTATCTCGCTATAATGGCTACTTCAGCGCCGATAGAATGACTATTTTCTAAGGCATTAAATATCGCAAATCCTAGGCATCGAAATCGATTAACTAAGGCTAGAATTAATTAAATTATATGTCTAAGATCGTGGAAAGAACTACCTATTCCTATTAGCGAGAAAGAGAATGAAAGCGAGGGTAGTAACGAGGATTTTGAAATTCTAGAGGAAATAGAAGATTTATATAGTGCTTAGATTTTAGATAGTTTAATTAGATCTAACTCTAAATAAATAGACTATAAAATAGATTAACTCTAAATAGATTAGTTACTAGATAGACTAAAAGATATATCTCTATCTATTACTCTTTTTTAATTACATTACTAAATATAGTAGTACTTAGTAATATCTTATATAATTCGGAAGAATATTAATCCGTTAAGATAATACTATTTTAAGATTTTTTAGTATTATTTAAGACTATTTAAATAACTTAAATATATTTACAATATAAATATATGATTTACAATATAAATAGTTAACCTTAACTATTTAAATAGTAAATAAGGCTCAAAAGTATTTAAATTATTTAAATAAAACCACACTGGCTGTTGCCGGGTGTCTCAGGTAGTTGAATACATATGTGTACTAGATACACCGCCCACCAAGGTTGAAACCCCTCTGCTCGCTATCGCCATCCAGTGACAGGATCTCTGTTGCCCTATCATTACCCTCCAGTACAGTCGAGTTCCTGCTGTCACGTTCAAGGTGGATGATCAGGATATCACTCTCTTTGATGCTCTATTTGTATATAATGTGGCCTTTCTCGAGTTCAGCAGGCGTGTAGCCATCCTTCGGCTACCACAGCCATATAGGTAGGTACTCTATGTAAAAGTCGTTCCCAAAGAGAATCATGACAATCCCACGCAGATGTTGCATCGCAGCGCAGTTTCTAGATTATTGGCCAGCTCGCGGCTGGGGAGGGGCAACAACCTGTTCGCGTCTCTGTACCACCGTAGTGTCGAGTTCGGCAGTTTTCTTGTAAGCATGATAGCTCTCATTGACGTCGAGCGGTGAGATGGTCGATCTAGACTTATTTGGCCAGTAGTTCGGTCTAAGTTCGACTGTGCTGCTGGCATCCTCGGCGTATCGAGATGTGATGGTGGCGCGAAGAAGGAGAGAGGAATATGGGAGGAGGAGAAGAGAGGAAGGGAGAAGGAGAGGCTACTATTTATGTATTTATTAAACACCGGAAAGGCAATGTATCAAGCCGGTTCGGCCTCCTTCTGAGCGATTTTCCGCACAGGGACTCTATGTCCTCATCCGCCAGGCAGCTCCTCCAGGCCGTATTCCACAGCCACGCATCTAAAGGTATTGACACCCCTGATGGAATGCGACAACTGCGATCTTGCACGACAGGTTTGTGCGAGCAGACTGGGGCACCTGATCACCACGGGCTTTCTTTCGAACCACTTCCCAAATGAGAGTGCCTTGTCTTTGCCTAGTGGGTAGTGTATCCGATGACAGCTATACGTGCCATATGGTATACCGTACCTTTCGGTGTCGGAACATATCCCCCGGACGAGGTATGCAGGCACGTGGCCGAGTGGAACCATCACTAGTGCTGCAGATTGGAGTCCAAACAAACTGTACTTGTAAACTAGCGCTGGGGGCGCGTTGCTCGCTTCGTTTCGTTTTCCCGAGATTCGCTTCGCATTGTCCAGTAGTATTATTACCCCGTACGGAGTCCTCGGTATATACAGAGACCAACCTGCTCACGCGCCACCTTCTCTTGACGCCTTTTTCTTCTGGGGCATTCTGGCTCACTTCTCCCTCCAAGACAACCAATGCGTCATACTTCACAATATCTTGTGGACCTCGCTTCAAGATGAATGGCGGCGCTCAAGACCCTTCCGCACAATCGGCGCAATCACCTCAAAAGTTCCTGCGCTACAGATCGGTCCGCAAGTCCGCTGTCAAAGGCCCCGAGCCTCAAAGTCCTCCCCCTCCCTTACCGCAGACGTCACAGACCTCCTTGGCGCGTCTTCCTTCGAGATATCATCGCCGACCACCAGCGACTCAAACTGCGCCCTTGCCCGACGAACCGCCTTTGCCTGCCACCTTCAATGGCGCGACGGTCTCGAGACCCCGAGGCCAGACATTTAACAGCGCATCCGAAGATGGCCAGACCAGACTGGCAGACCACGGCGGCCACCAGATGGTCATTGAACACAGCGATTCGCGATCCGGGACGCGGCCGACAACCAGCAAAAGCACTCCCCGCAAGCAGACTTTGACTTCTAGCATAGAAGAGCCGTCACCTGAACAGCTTCGGAGGTCGCTTGAGGCTGCTAGGGAAGAGGCGCGCTTGATTTTGGAAGGTGAATATGACCGAGTCAGAGCACTAAGGCAACGGGAGGCCAGGCGGAAGCATGAAGAGCGAGAAAAGCGCAGGAGGCAAGAAGAGATACTGGCACGGGAGGCTCGTCAGCGAGAAGCAGAGGAGGCTGCAAGACAAGAAGCTAGAAAGCGATCAGATCTGGCCCGATACAAAGACAGTCAGCGCCGTGAGGAAGGTATCGATGGACAAGATGAAGCTCCAGCGCCGCCGACGCCGGAAGTTGTTCATGACTCGAACAATTCGAGGACACGTACGCTGGTCATTGGTGGACAGCAGACCACCTCGAGCAAACAGGATAAACATGCGCATCACCGCCGGGCATCATCAGCGGTTGAGCAGCTGCGACAGAAGCCCAAGGAAAGTTACGTTCGGACCAACAGCGTCGGTAAGATCGACGAAAAGCCCGACTGTGAAGCACCGATGCGCAAACCAAACTTCGACGCCCCAGTATCGGCTGTGAACGCCGGGGAACGAAGGGTAAGCGTCAAATGTAAGGAAGCGTTCATTACTCTCCCTGTCACACCCTCTACCACATCCAAGGACATCCTGAGATCCGCCTCCCTTTGCATGTCCGAGCCGATTGACCCTCGGACGGCTCTCCTATTGGAATCCTTCTCGCAGCTTGGGCTAGAGAGGCCGCTCCGAAGATATGAGCGGATACGTGATGTGATGAACTCTTGGGACAATGATGCTCAGAATCATCTCTTCATCATGGCCGAAGGTGAATGTGCTGCCCCGGGATTGCAGCTCGCAGACGCCCCCAAGCAACAACCTTATGGAACCGAAGTCCACATCTACCATTCGCAGCGGCCTGGAAAGTGGGACAAACGCTGGTTAAAATTGAGAGAGGACGGACAGATCACCACGTCCAAGAATGAGAATGGTATCGATTCCACCAATATCTGTCACTTGTCGGACTTTGACTTGTACGCCCCCACCGCAAAACAGATCAAAAAGCTCCAGCCTCCGAAGAAGATGTGCTTTGTCCTGAAAAGCCAGGCGAAGTCTGCCATGTTTCTAGACGGGGCAAATTTTGTACACTTCTTCTGTACCAAGGACAAGACGGTCGCCGACAAATGGTATCATGCCGTTCATTCATGGCGGAGTTGGTACCTGGTCAACATGCTTGGTGAGGGTCAACAGAAACCAACTGAACCGGTGGAAAGAGTACGGCTAAGAAACCGGCCGGGGACAAGGGATTCCAAAGAATCGTTGCCTTATGTGCTCGGGTCTTTCAAACCGCTGCTGGATTTGGGTCCTGCTTTGGAGGAAAGCCGAAAATCAGAATCGGGCGTGGCGCACCGGGCGTCACAGCCAGACGACCTGAGGCCGTTGATTGATTTCGTGCCCGAGAGATCGAGCATTGACGAAAAAGCGGCCAGCCCTAAAACCCCTTCGAGATCACAAGGAGCTCCACCCACGGCATTTCCGCGAAAGTTTATGGTCGAGTCAGCAACAAATGGTAATGTCGATGATGCAGACGGTCCGTTTACTGGAACTGGTCTCCTAGCCCGTAGTGCCAGTCGCCGGGCTCAGGGCGGTCAGCGATCAGGTCACGGTGTGCCCGGCAAGCCGTTGGTTGATCTCGCTCCAACCAGCGAGTTTACTGATGGCAGTTTGCTCCGGAAGATGGAAGCAATGACCACTCACCAAGGAGTGCCGGAACCCAAGATCGACCGACAGAGGAGGAGAGAGGTCGACATGGCGGTCGGCGAAGGATTCTACTAGCATCGAGCAGCTCCTGGCGAGCAAAAAGAAGAGGTTAAAAAAGGGGACACGAAGTATACTGCAAATGTTATCGACGATGAAAAGAGGAGGTTCTAATGTGGCTGAATGAGTTTACGAAAGGTGGGTCAGTCAAGCCGAGACTTGAAGGGATCATCATGCCTTGTATATCTTTCTCACGATGATGCTCAGACTTCCATGCTGCAATAAATGTTGAGAGACTGTTCGAAGTCATTGCTCTTTTTAGAGTCGGCGGCGAACCAGCAAGCCTAGTTGGCCCTAGTAGGCATCCCCTCTCAAGCAACGAGCTCCATATATTCGGCAAGACCCGCAAGCGAGCTGAATTGACTTTCCAACTACTTGGTACCTTCGTGCGCATCTGAAACTACGCCACTCAGTGGTCTTGTCATCCCAGCCATCGAGGATATCAGAAAGCACCACCGAAAAGCGCTAATTCACGGTGCAGCCTTGACCCCAGGTTTGTTGACAAGGCCATGATCGACACCTGTTGCGCCCGCCAAAGATGGCTAGGCCTTCATGCAGCCGCAGACCAATCGAGTCTTCAGCAGCAATGTCGGGCCCAGCGGCTGCGCAAGAGAGTTATTTCTGTTAGAGCGCCGCCTGCAAGCCGAATTGAAAAAAATAAGTGGCACACTCGAAGTCCTTCACTGTTAGAACGGAGGTGATCTTCGTTGGTAACAAGCATTCCGTTTGCCTCGGAAACAGAGGTGCTCTGTCCTCACCTACGCCGCTAGCTACGTTGGACATGGCGACCTCCTCAGCGTCCTGATTCCGCCTCGACGTGGAATGCGATGGACCCCATCACCGCCCTCGCCCTTGCCTGCAACGTCACGCAGCTCGTTGAACAAGCTATCGAAGCTGCCAGTGTGTGCAAGGAAATCTATGAGCGAGGCTCCCTAGATGAGAATAACAAGATTGAAGAGTACGCCAATTGCATCGCGGCTGCCAACAAGGATCTAGAGGCTACACTGAATGCTCACAAGGTAACACCGTCCACTCATCCGACGCGGCTACAGAAGGTCATCAATGATGCCACCGCGACTACAGCCGAGCTCAAAAAGGTCCTCAACCAGTTGAAGCTCTCCAAGAAACAGGGCAACAAGCAGATCGGTGGCGCGTTCAGGACGACTTTGAAGGCTATTTTCAAGAGGGGCGTCATCGAAAGTCTGCGGCAGAAGTTGGAACAGCAAGATGCCGCCCTACGCTCAGCCATCTTAAAAGACCTCTAGTAAGTCGTCCCTGCCATTCTTGCCTTCCATCCTGTCAGTTCGCCAATGCTGAATTCTCTTTTCCAGTTTCAGGGCCGGTCAGGGTGAAATGACGCTGAAAGACGAGTTTAAAGCCCTATCCCAAGGCCAGAGAGACGCCATCGCCCATGTCTTGGGCGGCTTGCAAGCTGTTTCGAACGATCTCGTAGCATCGATTAAAGCTTCGGAAACAGTTTTGGCAGCGCGTCTCACTAGTCAGGATGTACAGCTTGAACGAAGTATGCGAATGCTCTCAACAGATATTCCAGCCACAGTCAGAGGCGCAGAGGCTAGATTGATGGATCGCTTCGATAGCCAAGACTCACTCCTGAAGGATGCTGCTCGGAAGCATATTATGCAGACAAAGTTTTTCCAGGATCAAGCAGAGGATGCTCTTCGAGACCGCCTTCTGGACGCATTGGCGTTTCCGGAGATGAATGAACGACGCAACATGATTGAGGGGCGCGTCGTCGACTTTGGCAAGACTTATGCCTGGGTTTTCAATCCTCTAAATGAGCAAGCTCGTATTTTCCGCAATCAGCAGCGCCATGCGTTCGTCGAATGGCTTCGGACCGGACAAGAGGTCTTTTGGATCAACGGAAAACCTGGCAGCAGGAAAAACACACTCATGGACTTTATCTATCAAAATTTTCAATCTGGACAACAAGGGCTTGTCCATTTAGAAGCATGGGCACACCCGCAACCTGTCCGCCTTCTCAGTTTCTGGTTTTTCAGACCGGCCGCAAGCCGTTTATTGAAATCTCTGGATGGATTCTAGAGATCACTATGCTTTCAGATTCTTGATATGGACGCGGACATTGTGAGAAAAATTTGAGCCGATATGAACCATTCGGCGCCGGACAGCCTGCGCGCTTGCCTTGTCGAATCGGGCTCTCGCGCTCAGTCTTGGACAAACATCGAACTGAAATCGTGGCTACGGTACTTGCTTACTCATTCTGTGTTCAACTACTGTTTGTTGATTGACGGGCTCGATGAAGTGCTAAATGATTCCGAAGGTTTGCTCGACGCAATCCAATTCATTACTCAGAGCTCCAACAAAATCAAGATTTGTTGTTCAAGTCGACCAGAGGCTCCCTTTCCGCGTGCTCTTCAGAAATATCCATCGCTGCGCTTGCAAGACCTCAATGGGACGGATATCAGGGCGCATTGCGACGTGCGTCTTGCTACAACTAGAGCTGCGCTTTTTGCGGAGGAAATAGCTTTTCGGGCTGAAGGTGTCTTTTTATGGGCTTATTGTTGTGGAAGACCTCAGAATCACGGCAAGCGAGGGGCATGACCTAGATGATCTGAAGCGACGTCTTAAAGAATGTCGGGTGAAATGAATGAACTGTTCATGTTCTTGCTTGAGCGTCAGGACACGTTCTATGCAAAACACCCGAAGCCATACCTCCGCCTAGTTGATGTTGCAACCAGAGGCCATACGAAGCTGACCTTGTTTGAAATGCTTGTAGCGTCGCAGGAACAGGAAACGTTGCGTTGCTACTTCCCTGACAATCTGGATACTCAATTTTTGGTGTCTTTGGACGCTATGGCAGAGAATTTCGAAGCCAATGTGATTGCAAGATGCGCAGGACTCGTCGAATTCCATCCACGCTTTGGATAGGATTTCTCCGAGACTTTTTCCTTCCTTGGTCAAGATGCGCAAGTTGGAGCTGCGTTTCATTCACCGAAGCGCACAAGACTTCGTGGTGGACAGTGAGGCGGGTGTTGCATTGCTTCAGTCCTGCAACATTTCCGAGCAGGAAGCTGAGGAGACTGATGACTGCTTCAGCGGTCAGCTTCCTCATCACCAAGAATAACGCATATCTAGCGAACATTATGAGCTATGGGAGGGAGATAAACCGAGCATTCTGGTCTCATTTCGACTCAAGGGTCATGGATAATGTCTTTATGGCAGCCCAGAGACGTCTTCTTCCTCGCCTGCCTCCACCGCTCTCCGAAGACAAGGATGAAAATAGATGGCTGGCTGACCGAACGGATGCCTTGGACATAGCATGTCCACATCTTTCACCTCTTCAGAATGTTGTCTTCAGCTATGCCATTGGATGGGGATTGATTCCTTATCTCGAGGCAAGGCTCAGCACTCTCGATCCGGACGAGTTACGACTGGTGGCCAACTTTTGTGCATGTCTTTCTTTGTCTGAAACACGCACACAACGGTGTGGTTATGAAACGCGCAACGACATCCTTGCGATGCTTAAACCTCACCTCTCATGGACGCAAACCCCCCTATTATGTCACCGCTGGGATAAGGCTTGTTATGTTCGCGTTGCTCGCCCTGTTTGGCAATGTTCCTTGTACACGGAATTGGGTTCAGCTGAATCCGCGACAGCACTTTGCCACTGTCTGCAATTCCCTTATAATTCCCTGAGTAGCACTAATGGCGAAACACTTCGCATTTGGGCGTATCTCATTTACCATGACTGTGAAACGTGGTCCATTTTCGCTAAACCGGACGACCCGATGGAATTGGTTATGGAGTCCGTAGAGGAGTTCGACGTTTTCAAGATCCACATCATCCTTCCCGAACCTTCAACAGGGGGCCCCTTCAAACTGGAGTTCTATCAGCATTTCCCAGAGGACTCGAGCGTTTCTGTGAAATTGAATCCACCGTCAATGAAAGTCTGCAGCAGTTGTTCTCCGGCCGTATCCCTGCATCCTCAGTCGGGGAGCTTATAGTGGCTAATCTAAACCACCATTTGACCAGTTTATCTGCTAAAGAGATTGTGAAGGTTCTGAGGAGCAGTTAATTGGAAAGAATGTACGGACGCTCGTACATTTTCTCCAACGGGCAGTTTCATTACGAACCAAGGATGGAAGAGAGAGGTGGGAACAGAGGTTGAAGTCTGGAATATTTAACAAGGATTTTGAGGCCGGCCCTGAGCAAGACCCGATATTGAAAGAGATCATGAAGATGTTGTAGAGTCACTGATAGGCTTCCACGGTTGGCACTTGGAATTCTGATGGAATCCTCGTCCAAGTCGAGAGTGCCATGATCCTCTCAGTCTCTTTTCTTGGCCTGGTCGATGAGTTGCTTGTTATAAAGCACGGACGATAGTCTCACGTACACGATGTCACCTGCCATGAGCGAGCACAAGGCTGGCCCATCAGAAACGAGATGCCGAGCGGCAGCACTTAAAATGGAAATGGGAAAGCCGCTAGGTCTGTATGGGTAGGTAGGCAAACTCAGGCTGTCTAGAAATCAATCAATACGCCGTTATATGTGTACAATACTAATATGACGCATGAGAACTCAAAAGATGGACCTACATGCGCTAGTGAACACTCCCCCCCCAAAAAAGCTAAGGATCGTACCACTGATTTATAGTATAAGATAGGCTGTCTTGTCGTAGTCCTCCGAGCAGCACAAAAGCCATCTAGGGCCCAAGTATGTATGACACAGACTGGATAGTCTTGCACCGCCCATCCTATATCAGTGAGCACAACGACCACGAATGGACCGGTTTTGCTGTTGCTCTGCTTCCATGCCCGTCTCCTTTTTCTATTTCTCGGCCTCTTTCACCGTGACCCTCACGCCCTTCGAGTCCAGCCGGGCGCTTTGGAGGAAGAAGTCGTGCGCGAGGGCTGCGCGAGGTCACGCCATAGGAGAGCCGCAGACCTTCGCTCGCGCAGGCGTTGAGGTACGGCAGCCTCTCCACATCCGCCTAGGGGAATGTGCTGGCGCCAGACTTGTGGGTCAGAGCGGCCGTCAGTTCTGCTCGGAGCTCCTCGTAGATGTGCCGCGACCGGACGATGTGGAACGTTGCCACGGACATGGCCCACGACGAGGTCGTCAGGCCCGCGGCGACTAGGAGCTGGGCTTCTTCGTTCAGACGGTCGATCTGCTTCTCCTAGGGAGGTAGGTCGCCGCGGACGAGTTCGTATAGGATCGTGGGGTGGTCTGGGTTCTCTTTCGCCGTGCCTGAGTATAGCTTTGAGTTTGACGTCGAAGTCCTGCTCGGTCGAAGAACCCTGGTTAGCTGCCGACTCTGAGTAATCACGCTGATTGTTGCGACGTGGGTATGCTGACCTTCCCGAGCTCTGAGACAAGGAATATCTGCGGCTGCATTTTGAGAACAAGCCATGCCGGGAGAGCGTTCATCAAGGGATACAGCCATTTGAACTGCAGAGCCACATGGCCGACCTCGGAGGCGGCCATGAACGGCTCGTGGAATGTCTGCCTGAAATCCGGGGATTCCAGATGTCGATAGGATTGACAAAGACATAGGTGGTGATGACATCTCCCGAGAAAGCCGTGAGAGCACCCTTGATGGCCAAAGGACGGCCACTGGCGACATAGGCGTCGATTTTGGTGCACAGGATGTCGAGCTTCTCGCGGATGACGGGCTGGAAATCCGCGATGCGCTTCTTGGAGAACAGCGGAAGGAGAGGCGCCCTGCGCAGTCTCTGGAGATTATAGTCCACAGTCGAAAAAAACGGAGCGAGGAATGTTCAGCCGGTTGCGGAAGTAGTCGTACTTGTCGACTCTGCCTGGCCCGTAGAGGGTGTCCCAGAACTCGGAATCCGAGACATGCAGCTCGTCCAGATTGATTCTCACAATCGGTCCTGTCGCGGTCGTCGTCAAGTCAAAGCGTCCGCCGAATTCATTCCATCATCATCATCACCATCAAAGGTACACCGGGGAGCGATGAATCTCACCGTATTTTCCGTGCAGATCGGCGATATGAAAGGTGAATTGAGCACGCAGGACGACTTTATGGTAGAACTCGTACCACCGACTGAGCGCTGCAAGCTTGGGCCCTGGGAAGTGGGCAATCGGGCTGCAATAGAGCCTGTAGATGGCAAGCGAGACCAGATACGCGGCGAAGACGAAGGCTGCGGTAAGTAAAAGGGAGTACATGATGAAAAGTAGACGCGGTGGACAACTCAACTCTTTGCATTCTCGAGGGTGATTGCGAGAATACCGGTATCTTTTCTCTTCATCCATCCTCTTCTCCTTCGGCAACATCGGCTGCAGAGACGTAGCGGTCCTTGCGTCACTGTACCTACGTCTAGCCGATACGAAGGTCACCTTAGGTCACCACAAGCAACTTCGGGGCGTATTACATCCCAGCGGTTAGCGGCGTTGATAGCAAAACAGGGATGCATATGGTTCAGCCGGGGTTGGCAAATAGCACGAACCTCCAGTCCACATTCAGCGCGAACATATAGCCAGAAGGGCGGCCAACTGCCGGGGCAGTCTTGAACCCAGCAAGAGGAGTGGAGGTGTCTAAACCGAAAGCAGTCAAAGATATAGATTTAGCACCAACATTTTGAACAAAGCTGTTGTTTCATGACTGTAGGGAGCGTGGACTTCGGTATTATTTCATGGAAAGGTATGGCTATAGAACCGGTGTGTGCTTGAACGCTGTGTAGGTTTCTTGCATGGGGGAAGGTGAGAAAGGAAAAAAGGGATTGTCGTCGTCGCCATTGCCTTTATTGCTCCAGTCGGTAGAGGTGGAGATTGTAACTCGGTTGCCGCGTATGGGTATGCAGGTCAGTAGCGCGTAAAACTTTCCTTCCTCGATGGGCTTCACCGATAAGCATATGAGTCCCACCAGCGAGGTCCCACACTTCTCCTCCTGACCGGCTCTATTCCTCCCCTTGGAAAAAGTTGATGATGGCTCGGGCACCCTTCGGGCCCATGCCTCTCGGCGGGTAGCACAGGTAGAGCGGATCCTCGAGGGTGTTGAATTTGGTGCGGAAGCCGGTCTTCTTGTCCAGATTGTACCTGGCCGCGAGGGTCTGATACAGCGAGTCGAGCGTGGCGGCCTTTGCGCCGCCGACGTTGTGCTCGCTGCTTAGCTTGGTCGTTGCACCGGCTCCGAATGTGCACGTCTTATAGCCCACCTTCGCGGCCGCCTTGAGTGCCGTCTGCACCGTCAGTTCGATGGCTCCGTTGGTCGCCCCGGGGAAGTCGAGCGCCCATTTCACCTGCACGCCCCATCGAGGCGCGAGTTGCGCGAGCACCACCAAGCAGTGTATTTTACCGTGGTCGTCCATGGTGATGAAATACTGGCGATGCGATGCGTCCCTGAACGGCGTGATCACGCTCAGGTGGACCTGTGCTCCCTCCCGGCTGTCCTGCCATTCCTTGATGCGCTGTTCGACCTGCTGGCGCACGTCTCCCGGTACATCACTGCCATATTCAGTCACTTTCACGCTTTCCTTCGAAGCGTGCCTGATCTTGCGGTCGACGTCGCTGTTAATGGTCAAATGCTCGTTGTTAGCCAGATTGACCCGCTGCTCTGCCACGTTGGTAAAACTCTTCCATCCCAGCTTATCGCCGAGGACCTCTTCGACTTCTTTGTCGACCAGAATAAAGAGAGGCTGGAGATGAGTCTCCCGTCGGAGCCACGTCAGGAATGCGATAATGACGTCTTCAAGTTGGCACGTTTCGCAGAGCGGATTTCCGGCAATGATTGCGCGGTTGTGCGTGGCGACGTAGGCGATGGCTGCGCCCGTCTTGTCATCGCGCCAAATTTGGAATCTCTCGTCCATCCAGGAGGTGTTTGTGGCATCGCCATAGTTTGCAACCAGGTTCTCAAGTGGTTGAAGATATCCCCTCGGCCGCCGCAGAGTAGTGTCTTCAGGATGCCGCAGGTTCGGTTCTTTGGTGGTGGGGAAGCTTTTGGGATCGCGAGGGAATAGCGACGCGTAGCGCAAATTCCCCAGATCCAGGATAAGGGCAACAAGACGTTCCAGGCCGATACCGGCCCCGGCGTGAGGTGGAGCTACCCACTCGAAAGCTTGCACATATTCCTTCAGGTCATCCGGATTCATGCCTAGATTCTCCATTCGCTCTTTCAACAGTGCGTGTTCGTGGATGCGTTGCCCACCAGAAAGGATTTCTTGTCCTCGAACCATAAAATCGAAAGAATTTGTGACGTTATCATCTTTGGGATCTGGCATGGTATAGAAAGGACGGGCCGCTACGGGAAACTTGTCGAGAATGTAGTAATCGGTGTGATATTTCTCCTTGACCAGCTCTCCCAGTCTTCGTTCGGCCCTCGTTGGTAGGTCATCGTGCTCGAATTGTTGACTTCCGTCGTCGTTGGTCCACCCTGATTCATTCAGCAGCTTCACTCCTTCCGCAAATGTCAGCCTCGGTGTCTCGTCCCGCCAGACCAGGTCGTCGTGTGGGAAGTGATGTTTGAGGGTATCAATGTCGTTTCTGTTGCAGTCATAAAGCGTTTTAAAGATATCCTTGAGTGTCGCATCAATCAGCCACATGGCCTCATGATAATGCCTGTCTATGACCATTTCTAGGTCCAACCCGGTAAACTCGGTCATGTGGCGGGGAGTGTTCGAGTTTTCTGCAGCAAATGTCAGGCAACGATCACAAAAGGGGACGGGATGAGGACGAACCAGCGCGAAAGACAGGACCAACCTCAAAGACACAAGGAAAGTCAGCAGAGATGCACATTTGTTTGGCAAGCTGCGGACTTTGAGCTAGAATAGCCGGACGTCCAAAGTAATCGAGCTTGAAGACGTCAGCCCCACCCTCGGTTGCGCCGCCTTGTAACTTTGGTGTATGAATCTCCAGAAAGCCGCGGTCATCCAGATATCTCCGGAAAGTCCTGCAAACAGCCGACTGAACTCGGAAAATTGCTTGTGTGGATGGAGTTCGCAGATCGAGGATGCGGTTGGACAGCCTGATTCTATCCGATATTGAGTGAACGTCAGTCGCCATGTCGGCCTCATAGACGCTGAAGGGCACGGGAGCCGTTCTTGCCGAGACCAGATGCACCTGTTCGATGTTCACTTCGGCATGCGAAGTGCTGGTGCTCTTGACCGTCTGTTCGGGTTCTTTGACCTTTGCCTTGACGATCACAATGGAACCCGGTCGCATGTGTTCCACCCAGCGGACCATATTCTCGGAGACGCCGCCGTCATTTGCGCTCAGCACGCCTTGTATCGTGGCGGTCTGCTGGCGAAAGACCATAAAGGCAAGCTTAGCGCTCATTTTGCGGACGACGTGGATCCGAGCGCGAAAAGTGATGTCCTTGCCGATGAAACTCGCATCAACGTCTGCCAGAGATGTCCATTCTGCGGGCCACGCATCGTCGGCGGCCCCGCGGTCTTGAAATTGCATCAGTGGCAATTTACCATAGCGCTTCTTTGCTTCGGGAGGGTCGTCGTTGTCCAGGAATTCATCTAGGCTTTTCATTGCCTCGCCATGACCCGGCTGGTCGTCTTCCCCCAAACCTTCTTCGTCCTCTTCTTCGCTCGACCACTGCAATTCTTTCTCGACTATATGGGCAACGTCATCTTCAGGGCCTCCGCGGCGGTGTTTGTCGCTGTGATTAGACAAGGTTTCCCCTAGTTCATACTTCCCACGTGAGAGTCTGTCACGGAAACTTGCCATTGCACCCATGATCTTGGACATGTCTGGGCACGACGGAGGAGACCAGTGCCACACAGTGTACGGAATAAAGAGATAAAAAGGTTCTGGGAGTTGTCATGGTGGTGAATGATCAGCTTTTAGTATGAAGCGGATGATCGACCCGGTATGTTGCCATCAGTTTTCAAGGCGGAGGAGGCTTGACGTCATTTTTTGTATATGCCAATTGGAGCTGTTGGAGGCCACTGTAGACCCCAGGCATTGTGAGGATTCGCTAAATAGGAACCAGTGCTGATCTTCGCTGTTGTTTCAAGGACGCAGTTCTCACTCCAAGCCGCAATCTTCGGCAGTCACTTGTCATATGTGGCCTAGCCTAGGCGCCGGCGCTTATAGCGTCTTCCATCCATCTCCTGGTGCAGCTCTCATAATGTAGTCTGTCTCAATCTGCGCGCCAGGGTTGGGGCTGATTCGGGGCAGTGTAGAAAATAAGGGATCACTTCCCATAACCCACAATGCAATGGATTGATTTGCTGCATAGACACGAATGAGGGTGTCCACTTGAACCACTTCAGGAGGTGAAGAGAGACGAGCAAAACCTGAATCCAGAGTCTTTATGAACGGGTCGGCGGAGATATTGGCCTATAATATGATACCCCAGGTGTCGAAAATAGGAGAGTAGAAGCCTGCACAACTCCAGTCTAGAAGGTAGACAAAGCCGTCCGAGTTCCAGGTAATATTCCACGAGCAATGTCAAGATGATAGCAAGATAGAGGTATATCCGTAACATCAATCGCTTCATTGCCCCCGGAATAAATGAGGCTTTAATCCAGATAGCTCTGAAGACCGTCGAGCGACTGGGAGCTTTTGCCCGGAGTTGTATTCAGACCAAAGCTTTAAACATATCCATCACGAGGTAGCCTATTATCCACAGCTCACCCAAAGGCCATGTGGAGACCTGAACGACTGATGCAACCTTGATAATTGGCGCGTCGGGAGCCTGGGACGCGAAGGCCTGTGCATGGGCTTCGGCTGCTGTGACATTAATGTCGAATCTCACGGCGAACTTCTTGGTCAACCTTGAATACTAGATTGACTGTGTTGGAATAGCTGATGATGTTGGTTCGGTTCTCATATGCTTCGGCATATCGTTTTGTGATACTTTGCTATGATCCTAGGCCGCTGTAGTCGATGTCCATGATTTGTGTCAAAAAAGGAGGGGGCAGATTTAGACCTGCCATGAAACACTTCCACACCTCCAGCCTTTGCATGCTTCCAGCCACGTGACTGGTACGACTAGTCACCTAATAGATGAAGGGCGAGTGGGGATGGAACCATAATTATGGCTGGCCATGCTAATTCCCGTCTTAATATATCTAAATTACGAGGTACTCGAGATCGAAAAACCTAATTACCTTTTTACGGTTTGAGCCTGGGGGTGAGCGAAGGCCGCTTTATCCTGAGCATTAACTGAGCCTTTAGCTGAGCATCACTGAGCACTCCCTGAGCAAACACACCGGGGGCCTAATCTGGCCCCTTGCGATCGGCTATTAGGCATCTGTTTTAGACGGGCGGCGGGGAACCTAGATAGGTTCCCTGCCCCTACGCTGCTGCCTAAAATTCCCCGCAGCGACTACGTGGTTACTATTAATCGTATACAATACTGTATCTTTTATTTTACTCAAGAGAGATGGGATTATATCTCTAGAGCCATCATCCGAGCTTAAGGAAAAGATGGTGCGGATAACCCATCGAGGGTGCTCAACAGGAACCCGCTGCAAATGAGGCGCACACCCCGTAAGCCCACATCTCAGAAGACACACAAACGCCCGAACAAGCAGATGCTCAAATTGGTACCTCATACCTGGTCATGTAGTTCCGTTGCAATGGCTGCGGAGAAATGCTGCCGTCTCTCTAGGCTATGGCACACTAAACCATTCCCTAGAACGAGCTGCGCTACCGTAGGTGCCCCGCTAGGACGAGTTGTCTAACCTAAGAATACCTGGGTAGGGTGGTCAAAGTTATGCGACCTTTTCGGGTCCCCTTTCCCCCTTAGGCTCTACTTTTAGCACCTATATTGTAATAAGGCAAGGTTGCTGTGCAGTGCTGGGGTGGTGGTGAGCTGGCAGGGCAGAGGTCTGTCAGGTCACTTGTCAAACCTAATTAGAGAGCTGAGAGCAAGACAGTTCATAGTGCTGGCAGACTGCCATTCTTTTACAGTTTGAGGGAGAGTATCACGAATACCGTGGTTTTTTGGCGCCGTCTACCTAATACCTAAGTGTTTTATCAGTTCAGTCCTGCCCCTCGATGCTGCCGCTGTGCTAGGTGCTCGTAGCCCTAGCCGCTACCCCTCTGGGTGGTGTTGGTGATGGTGGTGTTTTTGTCAGTATCAACCAGAAACGCGTTCTGGATTCCCGATCTGCTGGACAGGCCTCTGTGCGTTGTTACACGTGCACGCCGAACCCTGAAGCGCTCTGTTACAATATAGGGAAAGATAAATAAGATCCAATGCTAATCCACACCACTTCTATCTTTGCTCACCATATGTTAAATTACGACATAATGTAATGGGAGAAGTTGGAAGTGGTGGATAGCGTTATGATTGGCTGGGGCGCCGACCCTAGACTATGATTCTTCTTATATAGTTCTGGGGGACTATCTTTCATACAATACACAAGCAACCAAGTTACCAACAGAGAGGACTTCCCCTAGTTGAGTGTGCGCGTTGAGAAGAGACCATACCCACCGCCGTACGAGTTGATGCCCATGGCTAGTAGCCTCGCCCCAGTTCAATAATTTAACTAGGTTATTAAAGTATAAGATTCTAATGAGACTAAGAATCAACTGGATTCACTGCCACCTTTCCGAAGATGTCTACTTATTAGAATAATAAAGAACGTATAAGATGAAGAAGTAAATACCGTAGTACGCTATTAAAAATTCTCGGTAAGATTAGGTATTAATTATCATCTAGAGTGTTTATAGTAATTACTAAAGTAAAAGCTAATATTGTATATAGAGCCGTTATAGGTTCGCCTAGTTCCGGGAATTAACGATTCATACCGTTAAAAATATTCTCCACTTTAAAAACCATTGTAACAGAGCATTTCAGGGTTCGGCATACTCGTGTAACAACGCACAGAAGACTGTCCAGCAGGTCGGGAATCGAGAACGCGATTCTGGTTGATGCTGACGAGGCAACACCACCACGAACACCACCTCTAGAGAGGCAGCGGCTAGGGCAGCGAGCACCTAGCACGGCGACGGCGTTCAGAAGTAGAAAAGAATCGGCAAAACACTCAGGAATAGGTAGACAACATTAAAAACATAGGATACTCTGTCCAACTGTAAAGAATGGCACGCTGCCAGCACTTTGAACTGTTCAGCACTCCCCCTTAGCCCATTTTTGGTTTGACATGTGACTAGACAGCACTCGTTCCTGCTATCCCCCCCATACCATCCCAGCAAAGGCACGTTGCCTTGTTACACTGCAAGCGATAAAATTAAATGCTTGCTCGCGGCTAGGTCGAGAATTATATGGTATGATAGTCTCGTTCCTATACCTTTCGGCCGACCTCCATTAAGCTTCGCAATTACTTCTCACACTGGTTACGAGGTTCATTTCCCAAATATTAATGGATTCTCCGACCCGGAATGTATGAAGAGGGTCTGCCTGACTGCTCTCAATATTCCTTAACAGCAGCTGCTCACACAACACTCTTATTGCGGACTTGTTATACACAGAACAGTTGTGAATCTATCTGGTTGATTGTGTTCTCTTCTGCTGGCTACTTAGAGACACTCTGCCTATCTATATACTATTTACACTGTGGCAACAATCCGTCTGCTCAACGGGTCTGAACCTGGCCAGATCTATCCAGGCCTCGTTATCGACCAACGGTGGCACCAAGGCTGTTAAAGAGAGGCCTCGGTTGAAGCATTGGTGGATGGTTCGCTACAGTGCCGTTCTGCTGTCAACACCAGGATGCATCTGAAAATTTTTAACCGCCCAACTACGCAGATTAGTCTCCCTCAAGGGACAATAATGTGGCTACCTCTTTCCAACGTGAAAGCCTCAGTCAAACTCCTTGCACCTCCTATTCTATCTCTACTTTTCACGCGAGAACCGATACTAGACACTGGGCTCCGACATAGCGCCCTCGGGATGTGGGTTCATTAGTTTAGAACTAAGGAGTCTGCTGAAACATTTGCTGTTAACCAGCATAACAACTTGTCACCTCTGTGAATTGAGTGCCGCAAACCTAAAAGACTAGTCCTCGACGGAGATCGTTACGATAAGATAGAAGACTAGCGAATTCGAATTTAACCTATTGGTATATCCATATGAGACGGGCGCATTTCGGCGAAATAGAGATGACAAACCAGAGATCCCGTTGTTAGAAGAAGTCGTACGTCTTACAGCCTTTGGAATGCTTTCCATTACTTCTTACGCTATTATGCCACGAACTGAGCTTAGAAGGACTTTAGCGCTGCATTAGAAGGACGCCGTTTAGATATGGCTACTCGGAGGACAACTGCGCAATAGAATTTCGGTTAAGGAACTTCAGGTCATCTACTGAATATTCTTCGTCTTCACGTAAAACTCTCTAAACTAACTCGAATAATGGTTCTTCAGGGGGTTTCTTATGAATATGACGCGGGATATGCTGCTATCAGCTTAGAAAGATGTCGAAATGGTCATATTTAGTTACCTTTACATTGGTCGACTCCAAACTTCTGTGTGGAAAGCCCATCTGGGTGGACGTTTGCAACATCGTCAACTTTTCCTCAACTTGATTCACGATCAAGTCGGCTAGGCTTAATAAGGAGTCCTAGTACGTAGAACCGGTTTATTCGGGCTACGGTTGTCCTTCACCTTCTCGACCCAGCACGAGGCGAATCAACAGTATATGGGCTTGATTAGACCCTAACGAAATCAAACCACGGCGAGAACATCGGCTTAATGATAAGTTCCTGGACTCTTTTCCCCTCATTCTCGCAACAAAGAAAGATGGAGATGCCCTTTCGGTGGCATCTATTAAGAGAATCTTCCAGAAGGAACAGTCATTCGTATTGCAAGATTACGGCGTAAAAATTCCGCCTCGTGTGGGCTTCGGGACTTCGTGGCTCTGCGCTGCAAGTAGGACAGGTAAACTTTCTATTGATGGAAACACCGCTACCGCAATATTTACCTCGTCCGGTAAAGAGACGGAGGCCCTAACAAGGACGACATAGAGAACGGTACCGATCGTTTTCGTGGCCATATTCAGATGTTGCATAGAGCGCTTTATCATAGGACCTTCCTTGAGCATTGAACGTCTGCCCCTTGATTGAGAAGCGTTCGCGCCACTTTCTCGTAACCTTTCTGATGCTGTGTAGAGAGCATTGTCGACGACGCTCTTGAATGATGCGTACAGCTTCTCTCTAACATGAGTGTTGCTCAAGGTGAATGTTGATTGTGTTAGCACGGGCAGGAATGTCCGTTCCATCCGCTCCAGATAATCCGCTCCTTGAAATTTGAAGGTCGTCTCGAGCTATTCTTGGGGGTTCCAGTTATGGTCACCCACAAATCGTTACACCGCGGCAGCAACGATAAACAGTGGAACGGGGATGTTGACAAATACTTCAAGGACTCTCTCATCGGGCCAGTCATGATCAAGTGGTTTTCCGAAAGGTGGATCAATGCTATAGTTCTTGCCGAATCTCCGAGAATGTGTCCTTGAGGAGAACAGAGATGTCATGCTGAACTGTCACTATTGGAACCGCACGATGGAGAATCGTCCTGATAGGAGTCGATAGACATAAACTTAAACCTAAGCCAAATAAGTAAGTTAGGCCGACTCGCGAGGAAGGGCTTAAGGCTAATAGTCTTAGTCTGTGGTAGTCGAGACCATAAATTAGAAGGTAGTCTTAATGTCAACCTCTTTCTCGCATTCATCCAATACGTCCACTACCAAGATCAAGATAGGACAATGACCTGCGAGGATGTTCACTTTGCGTAATGGTCGATAAATTAACTTATCAAACTGTGCGCCCAGGGCCTTGTCAAAAAAGAAGACAGGCACCTGTTGGTAGCATTGCCGAGCTTGGCCCGTGCCTGGCGATATCCCAAATCTGGACGAATCCGCCTCCATCGTGGCAGCTATTGACGGTGGAAAGGTGTAAAGGCTCACAGGTACAATTTGAGGACTTTGCGGCATTGTTACGGATTCGGCTAAACATCGGAAGGACGGACGCCTGATACACCGGGGAATAATCAGGCCACCAGCCAAGAGATGCGGCTTAGGGAGTGCATCCTTATTACTAGCACACTCCCCGCATAGGAGGCGCATTCTCTCCTCCCTTACGCTTGGAGTCGTGTACAGTATCGACCATATACTATAGGGATGACTTATATATACGCTTATCGTTAGACTCTGCCTACTTGCCAAGGAATCCCTAACAGGCATCCCCCACGGCCCGCGGTGGTAAATACGCCTGTGCACTGTAGAGGGTTGCCGAATTCAACAATTTCCCAGGCGTCAAGTAGCTCGTAGCCCACAGAGCGAATTCAGCCGAGGATATCAAGGACTTAAAGTACTAAATGGTCTTAAACACGGCGCGCGTTAAGAAGTGTTTTGCTATAATCTCATACCTAGAGTAGTATTAGAGAGCCTATAGTTAAATAGGGTTTAGTATAGTACACTAAGATTCTTTAGGTATAGAAAACTTCGATCTCGCTTCCTCTAGTCATATCGATCCTTACTCGCAATAGTTAGAATCTAGCCACTTATATTGTAATGGGAGAAGTTGGAAGTGGTGGATAGCGTTATGTTAAGGATCCCTACTGATCCTAACTAGGTTAGGGTTCTCAGCAACAATCCTAGAATAGCATGAGCTGGTTGGGGAAGACATAAGTATGAGCAGGGTTCTCTGTTACTAAGAACTGTATAGTCCAGTAGATAATATGAGTTGGCTACGAAGAGAGTGTAACTATCTAGGGTAGTGAGGGTGTATATATAATGCTTACGCTCTGTGCGCTCTGTGCGCTCTATGCGCTCTGTTAATAGAGCCGGCAGGGCCAATAGAGCTAATAGAGTATATTATATAACCTAGCCTTATTTCTCCGTGGATCCTTCTAAGTGCCCAATGAGCGTGGTGAGTCGTGTTCGTGCGACTCGTAGTCGGTCTTCCGCAAGGCTGTGTCTAACACTATTCTCTCTCCGATTAGACTCTTATTCTAAGAGTTCGTCTTAGCGATGATATAAAAGCGGAACACTGCCCGGCTTAAATTTATCTAAGTCTAAAGATGTCTTCCCTTCTTTCTATCTTAGGTATTCGTAAGGTTTCCCGCTAACGTTTCTTCGAGCGCCGTCTTCTTACTGAAAAGATAAAACGCCTAGGTTTCTTAACTATGGCTTCTTGTTCGAATTATACTAGGTCGTTCTCCGTCTACTTCCTTCTAAAAGATAATTCTCGCTATAGTGAGTGTACTTAGAAAAATATGAAGTGTAATGATTAATATTTCGAGGAGGAGTTTTAGTCTCTAGAAAAGAAGAAGAGGGAATTAGAGAGTCGCTACCGTGAGGCGCGTGAGGGGATGGCGGAGCGGGCCCGGAGATTATACGACCGCATGGCTTAAGTGCGTACTGAGGCTACTGAGTTTGTGACCGAGTTAGCTGAGCTAGAGCGTCGGTTAGCTAACTATTAGCGGTAAATAGAAGGGTACACTCGCGCTTAGAGTGATATGGTGATTCGGTAATCCTAGGTGTTGGATGCCCTTAATCGAAAGGAGGGGTATACGCCGAATGAACCTAAGCTATCGATAGCTCGTGAGTTCGCCTTCGACGATAAATAGCTAGATGCTTTACTAGCGTTGGGAACCACTTAGGGTGATCCTTCCTTATTTTCTCTAGAAGTTCCTTCGAAAGGTTAGTCTCTAGTTCTTAGCTGTTTTTATATTCGTCGTATTCTAACTATTTAATTAGATATTAAGGCTAGCCGTACTTAACGCGTTTTCTAAGAACTTTCTTAACATTATATTCCTCGGGTGCTATCTCCTCATCTAGCGGAAGTGTTTAGATGATTTTAACGTTCCGCGGTGCTAGTTTAAGGAGTGCTTTATAGAATACGTTATGAATCTTTATGTTCTTTAGTAGTTCTAGTCGATATATGACGTCTCTAAGTTTATCTTTAATTCTAAATAGTTCGAGTTTCGTATAGTCTAGCTTCGCGCTTAGTCTCTTCGTTTTAATGTTTTTTCGCAAAAGGTAGACGGGGTTCCTCTTCTCTAGGAGCGATCCCTCGATTCGTTTCTTATTTACGTAGCTTACTATCCTTTCTATAAGAAATCGTAGGTCTAATTTAAGTTGTTCGTGTAGTTCTTTTATAGTTAATACTATACTCTTAGCCCTCGGATTTAGGCTTTCGTCTATAACTTCTTCGAGTCGTGAGTAAAACTCATAGTTAATAAAGAATGAACTTATTCCTATTACTAACTTATGATTATTGAAGCAAAATTAAGTAACTAGTAATAGCCTTACCTAGTTTATCTAACTATAGTCTACGTATATTCTTAAGTATTATTCTAAAGTCTAGTTCGTTCTTTCTATTTAACCGTCTATCTAAGGGTGAAACGATATAAATAGTTTATACTTTATCATTAATAACTTCATTAATATCTTCTAAAATTTAAATATAAAGAGCTTATCTCTATCTATGATAATCTCTCTTAGTATTTTATAATTAGTAAAGATTATTCGTAGAAATTTATATACGAATTCTTCTATTATTAATTTCTTAAGGTATAGTCTAAAGTATAAAAACTTCGTTAGTCTATCGTATATTATTAATATACTATCGTAGGTCACTTTCGTAAAGAATTCTTATAATTTAGGTAGTTTCGTAATGAAGTTAAATATAATAGATATCTAGGCTCCGTCGAGAACTTACAACGATTTTAGTAGTCCGTAGGGTCTATATCTCGCGTACTTCGTCTACGCGCACACTTCGTACTAGTTAATAAATTCTTAGATCTCTTACCTTATGTGCTTCCAAGGGTCGTGGTGTCGGGTGATAAGCTCGATTATCTTATCGGCTCCTAGGTGTTCTATTAATGGGTCGTTGTAATAATGTTTCATAACTTCTAGGCGTATAACTTCATTATATACTCTGTCTACGAAGTAATATTCTATTATATTGGTTTTTAGATTAAATCGGTAGTCGTCTTCTTCTAAGACTACTTCTACTGCTGTAAGCACTAATTATGTATATATGAGGTATTCTTTCTCTTATCGTAGTAAAGTTAATAGAGTTAGCTTTATGTTCTTCATATAGTCTAGTCGTTGACTAAGGGCATCTACTCGACCGTTTTCTTTCTCTTTAATATGGTAGATTCTAAAGTTATGAATGGCGAGTATTTCTACTCATCGCACTTATCTTCTATTAAGTGTTTTAGTTGTGTTCTAGTATAAAAGATTCTTATAATTCGAATAGATCTTCATTAAATATTTAGGTTCTTCTAAGTACACTCTCTAATGTCTAAATGCTTTCACTATAGTAAGTAATTCTTTATCGTAAATATCGTAGTGAAGCTCTAGTTCTATCATTTTTCGTGAGAAGTAGGCGACTAGCTTAATCTTTCCGTCTTATTCTAACTATGTGAGGACCGTAGCGATCGCGCCATCTAATGTATCTATCTCGAGGAGCGTCTATAGGTCCGGGTCGAAGATCGTGAGGATCGGGGTCTTAGTAAACGCTTTCTTAAGATTCTTAATCGCTTATTTAGTAAGCTCTATTAAAGTAAAGGTCGCGACTCCTTTCTTTATTAGGTTTATTAGGGGTGCAGTGATTCGTGAGTAGTTCCGTATGAACTTTCGATAGAAGTTGGCGAATCCTAGGAACGCTTATAGTTCCCTCAGTGTGGTTAGTTCTAGCTATTCCAATACACTTTTAACCTTATCGGGGTTCATCTTAAGTTCTTCTCGGGTGACCATATATTCTAAGAATTTAACACTATCTTTATGGAATTCGTACTTTTCCAGCTTAACCGATAACTAGTATTTCTAAAGGGTCTCTAGCACCTTCGTTATATATTTCATATGTTCCTTATAGGTCTTAGAGTAGATTAATATATTATCTAAGTATACGACATAGAATATATTAAGGTATTTTCTTAATACATTGTTAATTAGTGCCTAAAACGTTGCTGGGGCGTTAGTGAGTCCGAACGGCATTACGCAATACTCGAATAGTTTATATCGAGTTCTAAAAGTCGTTTTCCACTCTTCGCCTTTTTTCATACGTATGCGGTAGTACGCGTCTCGAATGTCGAGTACCGTAAAGTATCTAGCGCCTCTTAGCCGGTTCTATAGCTCATCGATTCGTAGTAGCGAGTAGACATTCTTAATGATAATATCGTTAAGCTTTCGGTAGTCTATATATAATCGGAGCTTACTATCTTTCTTTAGAGTAAATAGAATCGGGTATTCTACCTCCGACTCTAATGATCTAATATAGTCTTTAGCTATGTTTTCTTTAAGGTATTTCCGTAGAGCGACTTACTCTTTCTTCGATAGAGAGTAGAGGAATTCGAATGTAAATTATTTCTCTTTCTAAAGATATATTTCGTGGTTCTATAGCTTATATTCTAGTAGTGCATTAGTTCCTATCTTCTTCTCGAACACTAATTTTAAGTGTGCGTATTATGGTGAACATTCTATAGTCGTATTATTAAAGATCCGTGCCGATCGTACTTAGACCGTTTTCTTTGCGTAGGTTTATACCGTCCTCATCTCTATTTCTAAGGTTTTATTATCGTGGTCGTAGTTATCGAACCGCACCTAGGATTTAGCCCAGTCGATAATAGGGTTGTGATATTTTAGCTATGGCATTCTAAGAACTATATCGTATTTTATGTTCATAATATTAAGATTCAGCCTTTCCTAGTGATCATCGATCGTTAGTTGTACTGCTTTCAGCTCGTGCGTAAGTTATATTATGATTATTCCATCGAATTCAGTAATTAAGTTAGATTCCGGCCTTAGAACTTTCTAGTCTTGTAGCTTCTCTACTACCCTCGTGTATACGAGGTTCCCTATATATCCTAAATCTATTAGGATACTAACTTCTTAGTCTTTAAGTATCTCTCTAAGGAATATGACCCTAGCGTTAGATCTTATAACCGTATTTACTTTAAGTTTTAACTTTCGTCTTTCTTCTCTAGTTCTAACTAGGCGTACGTCTTTACTATTAATCTTTTAGCGCTAGCGTTTTCTAGGGATATACTTTCGGTGATGTAGATATCTCTTATCCTCTCATTAACTTAGTTTTTTAGCTAGTAGAGGTGATTCATTCTTTTATCTTAAGATTATGATACGTCGTAATTATAGTCGTCGCAACGTTAGATTAACTCGGTATAGGCTTATTATACTTCGATAGCCGTTATGTCTAGCTTCTCGGGCTGTAAATAGTCGAGGTGCTACTCGTAGAGGTGTGGAATTAATCGGAGTGGGCAGCTATGAACGCGGTTATAAGGAAATAGTCCGGCGATGAGTACGTTGGGCAAAGTCTTAATATATCGTAGGACTAGAACTCCTCGTTCTCGATATGCGCGTATAGTTACCTGTACCTCGGCTTCTGCTCGATTTATAATTCTTATATAATTAATTCGTTCGCGAACTTCTTCTTCTAGAAGTCTTACTATTCTAGCAATATCTAGAATATTCCTTTCGGTGAGAGATCGTAGGAAGATCTCTTCTTGGTCTATAGTCTTCCTTACTTCGCGGATGATCTATTCCGTTTACGCTATCGTCGCTGTGACTCGTTTAGTGACTTCTCGAATTAATTATTTAATTTCTTCTTTCGTAAAGGATTCTTTAGGTTTCTATGTTTAGCTTTCTCTAGTATGGTCGGGGTCTAAGTCGTATTTAGAGTTAGCTATGTTATATTCGAGTGGCGTCGTATCATCGGAAGAAATCTAGGTTAATAGTTATCCTTATGAATTTTCTCCTTAGTGAGCGTATATAAAATCTAGATAGGTATTAATCTATGAATATTCTTAACTTCGATATATATAAATCCCGAAGGTTGTTTCTATATCTATCGATAATTCGTCTAGTTCGTATATCGTATGATTATACTCCGTAATTCGACGTAGATAGTAGAGATCGGAGTATAATTTCCTTATTCAATACTTAGTCCGAATATGGATCTTATTGGTAGTGATTCCCGTAATCACCGCTTTCCCTTAATTCACGGAGTCGCCTAGGCGTATATATTCTCCTTCGACTATATTAGCTTCTGGGACTATTTTAGCGACTTTCTCCTACTTCGGTTACTTTTCTACGGCAGCGACCTACTTCTTCTTCTATTTATATTCTTTTACGTAGTATTCTAGCTTCTCGCAGCTATAGTAGGTAATCTTTTTCTTTTTTCCGGAAGGTTTCTTTAGTTTATTCTTTCTAAGATTATTTCGTCGTTTCTACGCCTAGCTTAAATCTATAAATTAGAATTTATAGTACGGCTTACGTCTCTTCTAGATATTTATTTATTAGGCCTTCGTAGCTTATATTCTTCTGAGGTTATAGGGTTCTTATTATCGATATTCTTTAATATCGTTATCTTCTTTAATAGCGGTAGCGATCTAGTCTTTTAGAGTAGTCTTTTTAAGGTGTCGTAGTTCCCACTTAATCTTTAGTTTTAGTTCTTTCCTAAAGATTAGAATAGTGATGTTGTTCTACTATTCTAGAGCTATATTTAGTGTTCTAAATTTTATCGCGTACTCTTAAACTAATTCCGTTTATCGGAGACTCACTATCTTCTTTTGGGCTTCCTTTTTCTTATTCTTTACTCTAAATATTAGCTTCATCGTTTCCTTGAACCCTATAAACGTTTCGAATAGGTTAATAGTTTCATCTTCCCTGTCGTCCCCTTCGTTCTCCATATAGTCTTTGACGAAGGGTCTTAGCCATGCCTCTGCATCTCCTTCAAAGTAACTTCCCATAAAAAGGATCTTCTATAAGTCGTTCTGAAAGTTAGTGGGGTTCATTAGAATATATATATTTATATGGTGAATAAAGGGTATAAGCTTAGACTCTACGCCGTTGAAGGGCTTAGGTGGATTGCTAATCTTCCCTTTACTAACTGTTAATGGTACGTCTCTCGATGAGCTTACCACACTTATCCCGTAAGTCGGTGGTGGTGCACTGGCCGTAGTTCTTAGGGTGCTTAGTGTTAGTCTTAGTGTACTCGAGGTTGTCGACATCGTGTTATCGTTAAGTGATAGTCGTGTAGTACGTTGGATGAGTTCGTCTATGGGCGAGGTGGGTCGAGTCGGTCTGCTCATAAGGGTTGTCCTTCATAACGGGGGTGGTAGCTAAAGTGTTAAGGATCCCTACTAATCCTAACTGGGTTAGGGTTCTCAGTAACAATCCTAGAATAGCATGAGCTGGTTGGGGAAGACATAAGTATGAGCAGGGTTCTCTGTTACTAAGAACTGTATAGTTCAGTAGATAACATGAGTTGGCTACGAAGAGAGTGCAACTATCTAGGGTAGTGAGGGTATATATATAATGCTTGCGCTCTGTGCGCTCTGTGCGCTCTGTGCGCTCTGTTGACAGAGCCGGCAGGGCTAACAGAGCCAACAGGGCATATCACATGACCCAGCCTTGTTCCTCCGTGGATCCTTCCAAGTGCCCAATGAGCGTGGTGAGTCGTGTCCGTGCGACTCGTAGTCGGTCTTCCGCAAGGCTGTGTCTAACACGTTATGATTGGCTGGGGCGCCGACCCTAGACTATGGTTCTTCTTATATAGTTCTGAGGGGGGACTATCTTTTATAGAACAGACAAGCAACCAAGTTACCAACAGAGAGGACTTCCCCTAGTTGAGTGTGCGTGTCAAGAAGAGGCTATACCCACCGCCGTACGAGTTGATGCCCATGGCTAGTAGCCTCGCCCCAGTTCAATATTCTCTTAAATATTATGAAACTGGGAGGATACCTTCCTAGGCACTAGAGGTCGATAGAGAAGTGGTCTCGGCTTCGAAGCCGTTAAACATGATGTTTACGTACCGTTTAGCGAGGGCATTCTCCCCGAGAATGTTCTTTATACCGTTGTCCACGTCGCCCATTGTTGCCTATAAGTCGCTTCTCAAGACTTTAAGTGCCGCATCTTCTTGCAGAACGTTTTCCGCACAGAGCATAGTAAAACATGTTGCAATTGAATAGTGTACTGGCTAACAGTGGCAATGGGACGAGGGGGAAGATGTGAAGAAGTGAAGAAGTGAAGAAGTGGAAGGGACAGCACAACGTAAAATCAAGCCCTATTAAAAAATAGGTAGCCGTTCCATCTATAGCTAGGAGGTTACTTAGAACCATGAGGCTGGCCAAGAGGTCGCCGGGAATTTGGCCAGGAGGTCGCGAGGTTGGATTAACGGATAGTTATTGGCCGTATCATGGTGGTGGTTGAGGAGGAGCTGGGTGTGTAAATAGGTCTTTCTCGTTGCACCGTTCGCAAGCTCTCGCCGCGCGTTTTGAGACCGAGGTTACCATTCTCCTCGGCCTGTTCTGCACTGCTGCACTGTTCAGTTGTGAATGCCTCGAACATTTCAGAGCGCTGAGAATCAAAAAACTGACTGAATAGTCGTACAGCAGCAGTCCAAAGGAGAGTTCGCTCGGAGAGGTAGCGAGTGGATTTCTAGAAGGAAGACATAGAATGTGGAAGTGTACAGAGTTTTCTAGCCACCTATGAAACGGGCTTTTTTTGCTAACCAAAGGACGAGAAATAGTGTTGACTGGTAAAATCAAAAATTATAAGTCATATGGCGATGACACCGCCTAGTTTCGTCAATGAAATGACTCACAAAGTTGATTCGACTTGGAAAATAGAAAGGCAGGGTCAATAACAGTACCATTTACAACTACATTCTCGCACATTCGGTTTTGATCCTATCTCCCCAACTTCAGATTGCACTCTGCGCTGCTCCTCCGCCGTCTCCCGTTCAATTCTTCTCGAAAACATACATCTCGCTTCACTTGCGCCATCTATCCATTGGACTTCAACCGGCCGCAGAAGTTGACTTGAATTACGTGAAGACTCCCAAGGGGGGGGCTGTTGTCTCATACACTTGACCACGACGTAATTGTTGTGCTAGCGAGCAATATAAGGAAATTTCCCATCATTGGCCGGTTCTGTGTTCTGTTCGGAAAGAAATCTATATGTAATCCAATTCTACCGATGTATCTCCGAAAGGTTGTATCTTTGTGGGTTGTGTCTACCCTGAGACACTCCAAACTTTCTCCCACGGGGAGCTAAGGGATAAGTGGGATCCGCTTTACCTAATATGAAATAGTGTGCTCTAAAGGGTCCCTAATTATCGGTGATATAAACTAAAATTCGACAACGGCGACGGAAGGAGTTTGGGAATCTTAACGAGGACAAATTTCTCAACACGATGCCGTTCTGGTTTGTCCACTCCGGCGATCGCGTAGCTCGAGACCCACTGCCCCTCGACTGCTTTTGAACACTCCCACATCCAAAATCGCCGGACCAAGGAAGGAAAAAGTTCAACCCTTGGTATCTCGCAACGTGAAGGGCATAGTTTGCGCCGTTTAAGTGCACCAGGATATCGCCATTGTTGACAAAGTCTGACACAAACGCGTAGTGGGACCTGTTGCTTTTCGGCGTCGATCGTAGTGCGGATACGTCGGAGCCACTCCGTGGCATAATGACGCATGATTTGCAGTCCATTGCATTCCATGAATGTGCACACTGCGTTTAGAGGCGCGCAAAGGCTCTCGCTAGGTAAACCTCCAAGTCGTTTCGGTTGCCTCTACCATCTCATTCTAGATTCTTCTCCTCTGGAAACTAGCTTTCTTCGCTCGATAAATAGCTTTCAAGCATCGGTGTGGCGAATCCAATGAGCTTCCTAGGATAGCCCTCAGACCAAGGGAAACATGTCGCCTTCTGGAAATCGGGCCTTCCAATTGTTCCTATCCGTCGACTATGTAGGGGAAGGACGTTATGTTGGTCGAAATCTAACTTTACTTTTCTCAACTCTTCGACGAAATGCCGCCCCCAGAAGGCTATCTGCTCAGGAACAAGGTAACGACTCTAACGAGGGACATCGACTCGCAAATCAATCGCCCAAGAGGATAGATCTTTGCCGTTGGCTCTCCTCGTTCGGAAGATCGACAGACATTGCATGCCTAGCACTGTGAAGACTTTGTCTTAAGCTAGTGTGGATTGGTAAATGGTACTTCTCATGACGATATTGAACCAGATTGTGTTGGATTCTCGTGTTTGATGCATTAGGCGCGACTCTTAATCGCTGCAGAAATAGCTGTAGCAGAGTATGACACGAGAATTTGGGTCAGGGTTGTGGATAAATCGATCCGGGGATGTGGCGTGTTCGGGTAGGAGTTGGTCAACGATGTTCGAGAACTTAGGGAGAATACGTGTTTTCGCAGACGATCTTCATGTCTTAGGCGGCAAAGACTTCTTGCCCAATCCAAGTACGCCGAAAGAAGGCCCTTGAGGTAATTAGTCGCATCGCGGTATCGCAGGCCAGGGCTAAGTTGCGGTCGTAATGATCATGAGGGTATCGTTTATTTGTGGGCGGGCGCCTAAAAGAGTATATATGTTGATCGACCCAGTCGTATTCGTTGGTCCGTTCGATCAGTCGAAAGACGAGCTCCTCCTCTGGTGATGGTGTTCCTAGCCACGCCACAACCCTCACTGCGTTTTGAAAGATAACAAACATCATCTCGCCCTGCCTTAATTTCTCGCTGAGGTTCCTTTGGTTTATTGCAGCAGGCGTCAGTCCACAGATACGAAATCTTTTCTTTTCTGTGAATGTAACGTAGAGCTTCATGCATGGTTTCGGAAACCGGGAGGCGTAGACCACTACAGTCGATGGATTTGGTGAGTGATGGATAGTCCCATGAGTAGGAGAGTGCCTCATACTGTACAATAGCGAAATCTACCACCAACCTCACCCAGGGAAAGTGTATTAAGTCCGCAGCTAGAAGATCGCAGGTGAGATCGGATTGTAAGTTTACAGAGGGAGCAATCCTCAACAAACGTATCTACCGCGATTAGGCGATAGAGCTGCTCGAGGACTTCTGACGGTACCTCAAGATGGGGCCGGTTTACAGCCAGAGTGTCTGCCCATTGCGAAGGATAGTCATTATTAGCGGGTTCTCCCATTATGTAGAATCAGTTTGTCGAGATGATGAACAAATAGTAAAAGTCTCGTTTTGCCCCAGGAATTAAATTACGGGTAGCTTGCGGCCTATTTAGGTACCCAGTGGGTCTCTTATAGGGGTTATGCGGAGCCTCTTTACCCTCCCGTAGAGGCGAGGAGAACTTTTTTGCATGAATGAAATCATATGGGGAGCTATACTGGGTGCGGAGGTGTCCACTAAATGTAGTTCCCGCGCCTAAAAAAGAAAGGTGGGGGTTGGGCGACGAAATACTCTTGGCCAAAAAAATGGGTGGATTCACTCCAGAAGAGGATAATTTCGATTGCTAATTTGTGGGAAACGGACTTGCTGTGCAGGTTTAATGCATCTATTAACCCAATGGTCTGGTGACAGCTCATTGCGTGGCGATGACCGCAGTTTGCCCCGAGTTCCACAAATGCGCTGGTTACCAATGGCTGTGGCTAATTGAGTACGTAGTTACACATTAATTTTCGGAGGATCGCAGATCCTACGACCGTATTGGGTTGGTTGGCTGTTGTGCTGGTCACAACTAGTTTAAACCTTGACTCGGACTACCCGGAAGATGTTCAACGATCTTTTCCACAAACAAGGGTGGTCTTTGACTGGAGGATTCGGGGATTTCAGAGGCTGGAGCCTGTCACCCACAAGGGACGCTTGCAAGCCATGAAGCCATGGTTGCGGAACAAGCGGTCATATGATGCCTAGGATTTAAGAAGATTTCCCAAGTGCATACTTGGGGAAACCTCTTGATCGACGCACCATTCTTGGCAATCCGAACGCAATTCCGGCAGCTACTGTGTGTACCCAATGGGCGGTCAGCATTTAAAAATGAAAATACGGTCGACAAGATGGCCTCCGATGCAGATTGCCACTTTTGTTACACCTCATTCGCAGTCGTATATGAGGGCCATTCAAAATACAACAACTACCCTCCGCTTGGTCCGGAACTCCTCTCTTTGTCCCACATCCTCTGGAGCTAGCCCGTTGAATGTCTCCTTCAATGGCTCCGCGGCATCACGAGTACCTGCATGCTATAGCGAACATGTGATTATATTTAATCAGCTGTGTTGGATGCCAACGGGTTCCCCAGAACAGAATTAAGTGCCACACTGGCTGCCTGAGCGACTTGCATCATCATCTCACTACTGCTTTCACTTTCCTGCCGCGTTTTCTGCCACTCGGCCAATTTTGTCTCGATTCGATCAAGTTTGTGTTGTAGTTGTTGTAGTTCTTCCAGTATGTGGGCCTGTCTAGGAAGTAGGAGACAAATTAATAAGCATAGGTGTAGTTGAAACTATTATGTCCTCACATTTTCTCTAAGTCATCAATCCTTTCATCTATCATGTTCCGCACTTGTGGCGCTCGCTGTGCCACATCCCAATTCCCGGACTTTAGGCGAGACGGGGGAACGCGCGTAGAGGCTTTGAACTGCTGTGTCGCGCCCTTCCGGGTCTGATTCGTCGTTCGCCGGTCTCGAGCGGGCTCGTAGGTGTCCGTTGCACATTCGGGGTTCTGAAACCTCCCCTGCGAGACATCTCTAGTGGAGGGAATCACGCCTGAAGTGAAAGAATGGCCGACAGGAGCCTGGTCCAGCTCGAAAACACTGGAATTAAAAAAATCATTATCCATACTTTCCGGATGCAGATGCTGAAGTTCGACTCGTAATAGTCGATCAACGATATATAGTCAGCAGCATAGGTCTATGTGGTTTCAGGATTCAGCCCCTGGATGTAGGTAGTTCGATGCAGCAATCCATGGTTCCTACCTTCGTTGCTTTCGGGCGCCATGGGTGACCGGCATCAAATTCACGATTCGCTAGCTGCCTGCATATTTTAGTGTCGAATCCTAGAAAGGGCGTCACATGTTACGTATGATTGGCAAAGCCTTAGGCCATGGGTATCGACTGTCTGACGATCCGAGGCGGCATTAACGTCCCCAACAACGAACCCTGACCATCTTAAAGCGCATGGAACGCTGCGAGCTCCGACAAAAGATGACTAAGATCCGCTAGTGGATGTAAGGGACCAGGGATTGCCGGATGAAGAGCGTTACTATTTCGGTCAGGCGAGGAGAAATACATTTGACGGTATCGTAGAACCAAGGCTTCATCGAAGTCGATGTCTCCAACAGCGTGTGATATGACTTCTAGGATTACGGAGAGAGGCTGCTGCACACCTGTTGACGGAGTGTGACATTTGGACTCATTTTTGGGAACTTCCTATATTAAAGGCTGAATATTGATTCCATGCTTTCCTACTCGCAACCAGCATGTGATAATCTCGGACCCTCTCGGACTTGACTATCCATAAAGACTCGGTGGCTTTTCGGACATTTAGGACAGGCTTCTGGATTCCAAATGACCTCCCCCTAGATTCTCCAGAGGGCTGTGCATCAGTTGACCAGGGGTAGCACAAAGCGGCTCCTATTTGGCATTTTCAAAGGTCTTATGGATGCACACCCACCGTCCCTCCTCCTTCTGCAATTCACGCGTACTTGAAGCCTTTTCATCTTGCAGACATCTGGAAGCATTCAACCAGCCGTCTTGCTTGCAACAGGAGGACAGTTGCAACGTTGCTCTTCTTCAAGCCAATTTTTGTAAACTGCGCAATGCCGATATCTTCAGACAAATTATGTCGGTCATCGGCGGTAGTTGCTCATTGGTAGATAGGTGAATACAATGAGGCACAATAAAGAGCCTCCCTTCCACGCCTTTCAGAAGATGTCCATTGGGAATCCGGTACAAACCCTGCTTTAGCATAGGCGCGTATACTCTACCCTGACTCTCACAGACGAGGAATACATACAGGTTTCGGCTAATGAAGAGCCGGCACCACGAATTCCGCTGGTGTCTCTACTCTCAGGGTAAGAGATTAGCCAGCAGTACTCTGCAATGATCGATACTGGAATGAGACATACATATCAAGGCATAAGAGTGTTTCTCGACTGATGTACTTCTTGGGGATTGAGGGATTTGGTGCTTAGGCGGCCGTGATATCGTGATATCGTAGCTGTACTCGATGTAGTCGGATGTTACATTGCCCCGAGAGTTTTTACAGTCGTTGAGGATATTATTCAACATTAAAGTACACATGGACGTGTCAATCGTGGCCCACCCGCCGCAGTCTCTGGGTTTTCAGCTCGTCATAAATTGGATGAGGCCGGCAAATCCATCAACTTTGTATGGAAGATCAATAATATACGGCGCCTCATTGGAGATATTTTTACCGACGACCTTAGAGTCCTTGCAGAAGATGTTGATCAACGCGGATACGGAGGCTCGAGGAGGACTTTTCAATTCAGATGGCAGTCCATAACATGCAGGTGTTGGAGGAGGAAAATCGTGGATGGCGCCGGATCGTCGACTGCCCAAGTACTCTAGGACTTCAGCGATGATTGGTGGTCTGCGTCCAACTGTCGTTTGACGATATTACGAGCTGGAATGGTCGCAGCCTCTGTCATAAGGGTGGAAGCCAGGAGGAGACCCGTAGTGGCCTTAGTAATGGGGTTGAAGAACATATTTGTTGCTGTACAGTCAAACAAATCTGATGGGGTCATGTGTGAATGAGAGTTTCTCTCTGCGCTGAATGTTGGCCCATCAGAGTGCGTTAAATACCGTACCAGCTCTTGCTGAACACAGGTGTATTTTTATACTGGGTATTCGCGACCCCTCTTCGTTCTAGGTCCTGAATGTGGCTAGAGTGCACGGGCTCTGAGATATGGCGAAGACTTTTCTTGCTAGGGCAAGGACATGATGGGCTATCCAATGTGGCGTATCACAGTTGGACAGCGACACGATCCCGCCAAACCGCTTGGCCATCGAATATTGGGATGTGAAGTCAAACCCAAGAGATGCTAAAGAATCCAATCGCTAATCTCGAAACCCTCGCCCGATCTCACACCTTCGGCGCCAATCAAGCCCGTGTAACTGTTCGGGATGCACCACACGAGCCATTCTTTCGTCCTTCACTATATACAATAATTCAAGCGTGTAGGATTCAGGAACATATTGGAGCTGCCGATAATGTTTCACCATTGTTGACAGGGTCCCGAGATCGTCACTGTGGCAAACCACCTGAAACGCTAGGCGTTTCACCAACTGCGGCAACCTACCTCGACATCGTTGTTCTCGCAGAAACTGTGATAGGATGGCGACGGAATAAAAGGTTTCAGGAATGGCCTTCAAGTCATAGGCTAAAGTGTATATAAACAGACAGAGTTTCTCTGAATAGTCAGGGAGACAGGACACAATCAAGCAGATAGATCCACAACTGTCCTGTGCACAACAACCATTAACTAGAACAGTTTAGCTCCACTCGGGCGTTGGAGAACAGTACCAGCTCTAACCTCTTTTTTACTTTATGGTTTTGCTTGCTCGAAGGCACGCGAGCGGCCACAAGATTTAAACCACCAATGAGAATCGAAGTTAAAGACCGATGAGCGTAGAATGGACAGTTTGGTGTGGCGTGTTCAAAATATAGCCATGGGCAGCAGGTACCACTTAGTGGGAAAATTGGGATCTGCTTCTTTTAGCAATGTCTATCCAGGTATGGCCACATCCGTGTAGACTATAACTTAAATCAAAATCTCATATTCCATAGAACGTAATGCTGAAACCGGTAACGAAGTCGCTATAAAATTCGAACATCACGGCGTTGCCCCGTCTTCACTTCAGGAGAAAAAGAAAATCTATTAATCTCTGGCCGGGAAAATCGGCTTCCCTCGAGTGTACTGGCATAGCTATCACGATGACTTCACGATTTTAGTGTTCGAGTTACTGGGCCGAATTTGGAAGACATATTCGGATACTGTGGCAGCCAGTTCTCGTTGAAGATGACTCCGATGCTGGCTGACTAACTGCTTCGTAGCTTTGAGGCTCATCGCTCACATTCTTTTCTTCACCGGGACGGCCAACTTGAAAATTTTCTTCTGGGCCACTTGTGTCTTCCTTCTCGTCCTTGTCCTAGGCAGACCGGTGCCGTTTTCCTGTGGTCATCCAGTCAGGTTGAATTGTAAATCATAACGATGTTTCCTAACGCTTGAACGATCAGGCTTGACCTGCTGCCGGCCGGCCGGGTTTGTCGTGATCGTTTCGCACTCGACCTGTGTCTCGCTTTCTAAAATCCGCTGCCATATCGACTAGCAATTGATGACATGGCGGACGAGCCCACTATGTATTGCTCACGCAGGAACGCAAATCTGAAGCTGGGTCGTCGACGCGGGGTGGTGTTGAAAGCCGCGAACCAGCAATCCTGCTTTCAGTCGCCGAGACGTTGAAACTCGCCAGTGGGATGAGGGCCCAGTGGCTCGGTAGCATCAAAACAGCCAATCCTTGGCCGCCATGACATCGATGCAGCGAGCCTTAGAGGGAACTTTCTTTGCCTCCTTGACATATGTGAGTATGCTCAGCATATACCATGATGAATGTGAAACACAGTCATTATCGAAGGTGATCACATGTACCGTTGCATTGGCGGAGGCTACCTTTGCGTGCTTGAACGGCTAATCCTACCGCATCATCCCTTCCCGATCCGAAGAGAGCATTGCAGACTTGGAGAAACAGCCCATGCTATATCTTTGCGTTCTTCGTCACCGCCACGGCCAACACGAAGCACCTGTTCGTGTTCACACCCTTTCGTGAACTATAACGAGCGCGGAAGACTTGCTCTTTGATAGCTGGCCTGGTTGATCCGTGGAAGATTACGAATTACCGACGATTATGTTTTACACGATTGATGTCACTAGCATTTAGATTCGAAATCTAATTCGAGAAGCGTCTTCTCACTCACTTTGTCCTAGTTCCCCGGCTTTCCTACCCCAAACAAAATGAAAGTGCAAATATGAATGCAGCTTTGGATTATGCAAATCATTCTTGACCTTCGCAATCATAATCTTGGTCTCATCCACCGTATATCCAAGCACCCTGGTGAACAAAGCCAGCGAGAAAGGCTCAACGGAGTCGAGAAACTGCACAAGGGAATATCTCCCAAGTTCCTTGAATTTGCTTCCTTTGGCCCACGTCCCAATGGGCACCTTGTAGATCTCTTCTTGGACATCGACGAAGCCTGCATCTTCCATGTACTGCTTTAGAACATTGGCCTTTTTGAGATCTTTGCCGAATCTCCTGCTGGCTTCGGTTATTTTCACTTCCCAGTCTTTCAGGTAAGGGGCGTTGTCGATGCCGCCGTCGTAGTCATAGACGTGACAGTAGAATTCTTGCATCTCTAACCAGCCCCCAGGCCTAAGATTAGCAAGTGACTGAGTGAATAATCTAGGCCAGTCTGCAATACTTCCACAGAGCGCACGGCCATGAATATAGTCGAAGTGCTCCATTCGAGAGTAAGCCCATTCGCTCTCGATATCGTCCACATAGAATTTACAGTTAGGAGGGACCCAATCTGGTTGGATCGGACTGAGATCGACGCCGATCACGAGAGATTCCGGAAATTCGTCCGCAAACCCCATACACCAGATCCCAGTGCCACAACCAAGATCCAAGACCCGCTGTGGTTGACCGTGCTGGAACAACGGAGCGCGGAACAAGGCGCCGTCGAGAACTAAGCAGAAGATATGATGTAGCATATCAAGCCGAGCTTGCTCGTCTTCGTCGTTGGGCAAATAGTACTGGCCTT